GGAGCCTCTCTTGGCCTTTCGCGTCCCTCCCTCTCCCTCTCTCTCTCTCTCCCTCTCTCTCACTCTCCCTCCCTCTCTCTCCCTCTCTCTCCCTCTCTCTCCCTCTCTCTCCCTCTCTCTCCCTCTCTCTCCCTCTCTCTCCCTCTCTATCTCTCCCTTGGGTGCTCTCCAGCCTGCCACCCCGCCCGGGCCAGCTGTGTGGGCCCCTCCTGGCCACCTTACCTGGCCTCGGCGCTGGCGGCTGGCGGACCCCATGCTGCTGTGCATCGGAGTGTTCCCCTTCCCCTTCCTGCTCTGTCTTTCCCTTGTCTTTCCACCCTCCTGCTTTGCCCTTCCATTGTCCTTCCCCCTCCTGCTCTCCCCTTCCCGCTTTGCCTCTCCCTTGTCCCTCCCCCCTCCTGCCGCCGTGGGCCATGGCCTTGCCGGCGCCGCGTCTCTCGTCGTGGTGCCCTTCGGCAAGCCCCCGGCCTGTGGATCGGCGCTTCGCGTGCGGGCGTGCTGGGGGTCGGCAGAGCCTCGCCTCCCTGGCCTTTGGTCGGGCCTGTCTCCCTACAGGGGGATTTGGGACGTAAAACAAAAAGTATTGAAAAAAGATGCCCAAACATACTCCAAACATAGTTCCCATATTATTTGTTGACTATTTTTGAATCTTCCCCTGTAGAGGGACAGGCCCGACTTAACCCTGGCGCCAGTCCCTCCGACGACGGCCGCCGACGCCCTGGCGCCGCTCCGGCGCTTGGCCGTTCGCCCCGTGGATGATGCCGTGCCCCTCCAGTGGAACCGCGCTGCCCTCGCCTTCGGCAGCTGGCATTGGCCGTTTTCGGATGCAACTCCTGGGAGGTAAAATTCAGGTTTTGCCCTGGTCCGAAGTCCGGCTGAATCCCGCTTAATCCCGCTTAATCCGGCTGAATCCCGCTTAATCCCGTTTACTCCAGCTTAATCCTGCCTAGTCCGAGGCCCATTGTGGCTTAACAGCCCCCCAGTGGAGCTTAATCCTCCTCAGTCCTTCCAACGAATACCTCCCAGTAGTTGCCTCCTAACACTGCTTTCGGTGCCCGAGGCCGCCTGCGCGGGCGCCGGCTCCCTTTGGGAAGGGGATGCGGGCGGGTCGGCCCGCCGAAGGCGCCCGCTTGGGTGAAGCAGCGTGGCGGGTGGGTCCCGGCGCGGGTGGGTCGCGTCGCGGATGGTTCCCAGCGAGTTGCGGGTGGGGCGGGCCGCGTGTGGGTCGCGGCGCGCTTGGGTGGGTGACGACGACAACAAAAATGAGAGCAATATGTACCGCGAGTTTCCACTTCAGCGATTCACCCAGGGACAGTGTAAGACCGTCCGGCCCCTCGTCTTCTCTGGTCTACTACTACCTGCTGCGTTTCATTAGGTTCGGTTGATCCATGGCCCTAGCAAGAGGCGCACGGAGTCTATTCATGTACGATGAGAAAGGCCTCTGTGCTGTGGCGTGGTGGGCGGAGGGGGACGGGGGAAGAACGAGGAGAAGAAACAAAGAGAGACGACTCGGATCCAGACATGATCGAGGCTTGCGCTGGAGCGAGAGCGCCAGTCTCAGCGACGGGAGCACATCACCGATCTCAACGAACCAGCGGGAACAACATTTTCGAAACAGGCGCATCGCAGTCGAGGTCCTGCGATGCGAAAGCACGGTGCCGGACAGAGACGCGGGGTGGCACCGCTGCACGTTGGCGGGGGAGAGGAAAGTACGGCACGGTAGAGTGCGGCGGTGACTTAGGCGGGAGCGTGGAAGGCTGAAAGCCGACAGCGGCCCGGAATCGGCCGACACCGGCCGGTCCGCGCTGTCAGAGGGCCACGATCGTTCAGGGTGCAGCGAGGCATTCGGTGCCAGAAACCAACGCACATGGCGCCACGACACGCGCCTGCCCTACTACGCGCACGTACTGGGAAGGACGTGGCGGCGCCTCCAGACGTCCGTCGGGACCTCCCGGTCGCCTGGGCCTGGCCGCTGGTCGTCTCGAGCGCGACCGCTCCCGGCTCGAGCTCCCGCGCCTCGCCTCCCTTGACCCCGCTGCCCGCGGCCTGCCTTCGCGGATGCTGTCGGCGGGAGGGGTTCTCGCGGTACTGCTCCGGAGCGATAGCTCCGCCGTGGCTTGCGGCTGGAATGGTTACGGCCTAGTGCGCCCTCTGGCGCAACCCGCGGGTCTGGCCTACACGCAGGTCGCCGCAAAAGGGCAGCACACGGTTCCGGAGCGATGGCTCCGCCGTGGCCTGCGGCTGGAATTCCGTCGGCCAGTGCGCCCTCCCGGCGCTGCCCGCGGGCCTGACCTACACGACCCACCTGCTGCCGGCGATGCTCCCCCAGGCGTCGCTGGATGGCGACACGATTCGTTTCATTACCTTCGGCGGGGCGGAGCACTCGAGATCCTGGGCCGGGCCCGACGCTCGCCTCGCGGACATCTACGAGCACCTGCGCTGGCCGACTACCGCTCGGGCAGACTGGGGCCCGGAGCCTGGCGGGTGGACCGCCGTCCTGCCGGGCGGCCAGTTGCTGAGCAGCGTATCGGCCGAGCAAGCTGTCGCAGACGCCCTGGAGCTCTCCCGTGCCGTATGATATAGAGCAGATATTCCGGGGCGGTACGAGATTGCCAAGATAACCGCGTGTCGCACATCGCGCGGCGTTGGTCTCGAAGTTGGGTTGCCCAGGTGGGGCAAGGACCCCCGCGAGATCTTCGTTCTTGCGCGCATGGTTTTTGCCCCGTCTGCCCCTCATCCTCATGAGTAAGCAGGAATGTTCGGAAATAGTCCAAAACCATGTTTAAACTATTTCTGAACATTTGGGGAACATTTTTTTTACATACTTCGTCCAAAATCCCCCTGTAGGGGAACAGGCCCGACCTAACCTCACGACCTTCTCTTCCTCACCTTTTGCAACCCCTCGTCCTCCTCATCACCATTCTCAGCTTCCTCCCTTGGAGGTCCGCGCGCGAGGGGTCCCTCTGTATCGTTGGAAACCCCGCGGGGGCACCCGTGAGGTCAACGGCGAGAAGCCTCCATAGGCTCCAGGGCCGCAGGACTCTAGTCATTTTCCCGTGGCGCCGGGGGTTGCGGGTTCGAGCTGGCTGGGGGTCTGCGGTGAATTAGCATTAGTTCTGGCGAGCAGGAACGAGGGAGGTGGGGGGAGGTTCGAGGTTCTGGGCTCGTTGTTATTTGTATTCTTCAGTCTCCAGGGAGCATTTCCGGGCCCCGGGACCGACAAAATGGATCCAGGGTGAAAGCTGGAAGGGGGCTGGGGATGGATTTTCAGCACATTTGCCCGTATCCCCCCGTCTCTCTGGGCATCCAGCTCAGTCCCTGGTAGACCGTCGCGAATCGGTCCTGCCGGTTGAGAGCCGCAGGAAGATGGTGCCCAGAAAGTTGGTCGCGATCTCCGCAATGTTGCATGTTCTCGTCTCGTGGCGTTGGATTTCAGTGGCGGGGGTTGATCTGTGAGTGTATGCTTGCGCAGTCTTGGCTTCCAGAGGGGGCGCCCCCTGAGCCCGCTCTTGTGCCACCGAGCTATTCTGCACCACGTACCTAGCCACCTAGCCTTCCGAAGTTTCGTCTATGAGCGAGGGGGGGGCTAGGGCTGGGGCGCACAAGGGCGCGCCCTCCGAAGCCAGTGCGAACCAGCCAGCCACAGCTCTTGGCGAAGACTCTCTACGCCTGAGGCCTCCTCCCGCATTCCCCCTTCCGCGGCCGCCCTCATGTGATCCACCTGTGTAGGGTTCCCCTGCCTGGCTCGGCCCACCGGCTAATGGACCGAGTTGGCGTTCGCCCTCGCCGCTGCCTCGGACATCGGAATGATGTTCGTGTTCTCGCCTTGTCGGGCTTCCGTCAGCGCGACATGATCCAAAAGGTGTCCCCAAGACGGCCCAAGAGGCCCCAACAAGGGTTCCCACACCGCCACGGGGAACCCCACGATGGCCCACGAGGCTTTCGAGACGAACCCGAGACGACCCCAACTGACCTTCGAAGGCCACTCGACGGCCTAAGCCGTCGCCGAAACGGCCCCACGATGGCCCCAGGATGCCCCCACACGGCCACGAGGGCCCCAAGACCTTGGCATCGCTCGGACGCGTGCATTCTTCCTTCGGCGAGGACCATCGAGGAGCATCCTTGACCACTTGGCGAAAGAACCACGCACGAAACCAAAAAAAACACAGGGAATGGACGTCCGAGCGATGGCAAGAGACAGTCCAAGAGAGCCCCAAGACGGCCACAGGAGCCCGAGATACAGTCGGCCCAGATTAGTAAGTCGACCTTGCCAAACCAAGGGTACCCTTGTGTCCTGTGTCTCGCGGCCCATGCTTCCTGCATTCCTGTGGCAATGTGGCCCTCGGACCGGTCTTGTGCCCTCTCGCGTATCCTGTCCAATCGAGTCCGACTGTAGCACCAGGACGGCCCAAATGAGCTCCATGAAAGCTAATCCTGCAGTGAAGACGAGCAGGGTCACATGTAACGGCCATCCCTTTCTCGTCCTCCTTCTTATCCTCCTCCTCCTCCCGCTTCGTCTCCACCTCGTTATCTTCTTTCTCTTTCTCCTGTCCCTCCTCTTCCTCATCATCAGCATCAGCATCATCAGCACCATCATCAACAGCATCAGCAATAGCATCATCATCATCGGCATCAGCATCATCATCATCAGCAGCATCATCATCAGCAGCATCACCATCAGATTCATCATCATCATCATCACCATCATCATCATCATCATCATCATCATCATCATCATCATCATCATCATCATCAACGACATCGCCGCTTCCCCCAAGCCTGCCCGAGGTGACACTGGGGAAGGACATCCCGCCTCACGTTGCACGCGAGCGCTGCGCGGCCAGAGCAGCAGGGATCGTGCGATTCGCACGCTTCTGCCGGAGAGTGGAGGTGGGCAGATGTTGGAGCGATGCGGGGGGACGGGGAAGGGAAAGCGCAAGTGGCGATTCACCTCTGAGGGCATCAGCATTCACGCATAATGCTCTGAACAAGATGGCTTCACTCTGTGCCTCCCCCTCGGACTGAGCATGCTCGCTTTGGAAGGGCATCTCTGGTCCGGGGACGCACGCCGGCAAGGCGCCCTCATGGCTGCCGCTCGAACCGGAGGCATCTCGCCTTCGGCGGAGCCGACGACGTCAAGAGCGACAATCCGTTTCCTCAAAGCTGGACGTCTGACTACTAGGTCTACAGGCTAGGGCGGCAGACGTAGCCACCTTGGCCTTGAACGAGGCTGCCATGCAGGGAGGACACAGATAAATGGAGGCAGGGGTGTAGGGAACGAAGCGTGGGAGGGATGCACCACGCACACCTACACATGTCATGGAGCAATGTGTGTACGTGTATATATGTACAACCCCCATGTGTATACATGTATACGTACACACGTAGACGTGTGTATGTATGTATGTCTTTTTGTTTTTGCTGCCATGGTGGACCTCCAAGTCCGAAGTAGTGAATGCACAGCGGATGTGCAAGCCATGTGGTACAAGCTATGTTTAGTAATCGTTGTGGTGTTATCTGAATAGATGCTTATGGTGCGGCAGCTATGCGGGGTATGTTTCCAAGCCGTGTAGTGCAACCTGCGGGACGACATTTATGCAGCGTTAGCTCAGCGGTGTAAGCTATGCTGCTCAAGCTACGTGATGCAAGCAATAGGATGCACGCTATGTGTTGCAAGCTATGTGGCGTCAGTGCAACACGCTACGTGGTGCAAGCTACGTGGCGCCTGCGTTGTGCGACCTCTGTCTGCACATCGGATGGCATGCGCCCAGGACCAGGCACGGGCGGCAAGTTGGCAAAACCTCTGCACACCTATCTAACACACGAAGCGCCCACCAGGCGCCCAAGGGCGACAGCGTGGCGAAACCTCGGCACGCAAAGCCAGCACACGAACCTCCCACGAGGCGCCCACGGGCGGCATGGAGAAACATCGTCACACCCATCCAATGCGCTAGGTCACCTGAACAGGAACTCCTCGGTGTAAGAACTGTGATAGACGTGAATTTGTACCGGGGAAGACCGGATGTTTCACACGCCAGGCAGCACCTACTGTGGCTGCGGGCGCGCCCTGCAGCTCGCCAGCGAAGCCACGCAAGCAGTGGAAATGCTGCAATGCGAGTCTGGTAGACTTCATCAGACAATGTGGTAGCCGTTTTTTTGAAATTGACCAGCGAATTGCACCATCGGGTCAAGTAAATCATTGCCATATTTCCACGTCCAGATCCAAGACTGGTCGCAGACGCTGATAAACGTAATGGAGGAACGGCGTCGTCGGCCCCTGGATGCAATAGCCTTGAACTGTCCAACAGCCCACAGTCGGGTACTAGGAGAAGTGAAAGCAGACGCGTCTGGAAAACATGAGGGCGCCCCGAGTTTGCAAGTTGACCCTTGTAAAGCCGCACCACATTGGAAGAGCGTAGACAAACATCGCAAGCCCAGCGATGCCGCAAGCGCACGGCATATCCGCGCGAGCGTCCGGAACCAGCGCGCACCACTCGCAAAGCGGTCGCAGTGAAGTCCAGCCTGTGGCCCGTGCTTGATGCTGCCACGGGAGCGCAAGTCGTGGCACAGCCGCTGCAGACACGCGATGCACACAGCAGGTGCCCACATCGAAATAGGTCTGGCGAACTCTCTGTGGTGAGAAGACGAGTAGCCGCTCGCAGCCTGATTGGACCCAGCACGGCTGCCTAAACTCGGCCAGCCACGCAAAGTTCGACCAGCCACGCAAGCTCTTGCAACTGACAACCCCGCGATCCTCCACGTCCCTGCAGCCAACAAGCCACGGGAACTTAACAATATACCCGCAACGTGAGTGCATCACTTTTGCTTCCCGCCAGTGAGACAAAGTGCCCGACGCTTCCTGCGCCCCCACCATCCCATCCAGAAAAGGGGCTTGGTCGAGTTGCTTTGGTCAGGGAGGTGTGCGGGCACGGACTGTCACAAAGAGAGGGGGAGGGGCGCCATGATTTGTCGAAGGAGGGGCAGGAGGAAGAGGAGGATGAGAACGAAAGATTGTGGAAGGAGGAAGTCTGAGGCAGAGGCGGAGGAGGAAGAGGGCGAACCAGAAGGAAAAGGAGTTTGATCAAACACGTCCCCACTCAATTTCATGAGTGTTGTTTGGGAGGGGGGGCAATCGGGAAGAGGAAGTCATCCAAGGAGAATAAGGAGGTGGAGGGAAGGAAAATTTGGAGAAGGATAAGGGAGAGCGGTGGTGGAGGAAGAAGATTTCGATGTCGACAGCAGTCAACCATAAAGGCATTCGCGGGCCATTCGCTGTGGGAGCCTCTTGGAGCAAGTTTAGGACCTTTTCGGGCATTCTTGGGAAATTCCTTGGGGGGGGGAGGCCATCCTGGAGGAGATCCATGACCAACGGAAGGGGGGAATCAATTAGCCCCCCTCCTCCGTTGGAGCATGAAAGCGTTGGAGCCATGTTGGCGCGTTCATGGGGCGCTGTTGTGTGCTCCTGGGGCACTTTTGGAATCTCCTTTTGGTCCCACTTGGGTCTCCAATGTGCGATGTTGGAGCCCTCTTGGGGCGTCCAGCGCCTTCTATCACATAACGGTCATCCGTTTT